CTTTACCAACTATTTTAGATAAATATATCGTTAAAACCAATGAAAAAATAAATAAAAATAATACGAAAGTATATTGTAAGCCTTGCATTAACCAATTAGGTCAAATGGAAGGTACTAAGAACTTTTATCCAAATAAAAAAGATCGAATAATCTTACATTTGAAAAAATGTCCACATTTTGTTGCTGAAACAACCGCTGAAGAGAGAGAAAAAATTTATAAACTAGTTGATCCTACGAAAAGTAAAGTATTATTTATTATTTGTTTATTTATTTATTTACTCATTCATTTATTGAAAAATTATACTTTTGTAGAAACTGATGAAAGCGTATCCTCGGCTTCGTATTCTTCATTAAAAATTATTCGATCTTCATCTTTTGGTCCAATGGATGATTATATTGTAAGAGCTTTATCACCTGAAGATGTAAAAAGATTCCATCAACTTCTTTTGCAGCTTACAGTTTCTTGTAAGTAGGCACTGCATTGGGTAAACAAGCCTGAGGCAGCTGAGTTGTTTGAGTTTCTTAATCTGTTAATTAAGCTTCCTGATCGACGTATGCTTGGAGGACGAATTTTAAAGGATGCAACAAATAAATCTAATAAGGCGATGTTAGCTATGTTAAAGGAAAATCAAGTTGGTATTATGCTAACTTTCGATAGTTGGACTAATGTTCGAAATGAACATTTGTTAGGAGTAGTAATTATTATGTCAGAAGGTAGACCATATGTTTGGAAAGCACTAAATATAAGTTTAGAATGTGAAACACATATAGAAGTTATTGAAAAAATAAATATGATGTTTGCTAAACTAAATTTATAATCAATTAGAATTATTGCTATTGTAACAGATAGTGCGGGCGCATATGCAGCTGCTAGGTATATTTCATTATTTATTTTAAAATAAAGTGAAGATTTATTTATTAATTTTTTTATAGGCATCGTTTAAGAATTGCACAAAGATCAATTGTATTCTTACCATGTTACGTGCATCAAATAAATTTGTGTGTTGGAGAGATCTTTAAAGAATCGACTGATTTTAAAAGAACAATCGACCAGGCTGTCCGTCTTGCTACGTATTTTAGAAATCCAATGAATAAGTTTTTTATTGCAAAATTAAAAGATGAACAATATGCCGCATATAAAAAATACTTTGCAATTAGTGTACCTGGAGAAACACGATGGAACAGTTTTTATACTGTTTGTTCAAGTATTCTAAGATCACAAAAGGTATTGCAGGTAAAATTAATATTGTTTTATAGATTTAAAGTTAAACAATTTAAGATTGAAGAGTGACTAGTAAATTAATATTTATCAGATCCTTGCGATTAAGTTTGAGCCACCTGTTGGAGAAACTTCTAAATGTATTGGATCGAAGCCAAAATTAAAACGTGAAATATATGAAATTATTAGTTCTTCAAATTTTTGGGCAGATATTCGGCATCTACTTAGCATTCTCTGGCTGTATTGTTTTATTTTGAATAAAATGCAGTCTGATAAAGCTCGATTACATCAAGTTATTTTGAGTATGAGTTATCTCGCTCAATTTTGGGATAATTATGATGATTTGTAGCTTAGTACTCGACTTATATTACGTTTAGAACACCGATGGCGTGAGTGGGAACAGCCTTTATTAATTCTCGCATGTCTTTTACATCCTAATTTTCGTATAGAACTGCTTAATACAAATATTAACTATGCTAACTTTGAACAATGGCTAATATATTATTATCGTGTATGGTTTGGAAAGGAATCAAAACAAATTTTAAGAGAGTTTGATAATTTTCGTTTAAAAAAATATTCTTTTGATTTAGATATATGGGATCAATTTGAAGATGATATCTATGCATATTGGTGTTTTGCAGGTTCATCAACTGAAGAACTGGGTTTAGTTGCGACTCGAATTTTTGAGATATGTGTAAATGCTGCTGCCGTAGAACGACTATGGAGCAGCATGGGATTCTTACACACAAATAGGCGTAATCGATTAATGGTAAATTTAACTATACTTTCAAATTACATATTTTAAATAATGATCTTATTAATGTTAAATTAT